ACCACAAATTAGTTCAAATTAGTTTTTTTTTTTTTTTCATTTGAGTGATTTCAACACTAAAACTAGTTTTTTATCTGTTCAAGCCATTGACTTTTGTTTTAAACCAATGATTTTTGGGTGAAATACCTCGAATTATTCACCTGTTTGAAGGGTCAGAATGACCTCTGGGGTTCAAGATTTTAGGAATGCAGTGGTTCGGGGGGGTTGGTACGGTGCAGGGTGATTTGGTTGGCGACTGCTGCCCCCGTGACCCGGTAACGGATAAGTGGATGAAACTGGATGGATGGATGGATGGATGGATGGATGGATGGACATCTCTGTAATCAGTCTCAAGCTTTCAAATGATGCCAAAACCCTAATTTGCATCGAGGGTAAAATATTTACCAGGAAGTGGCACGTCTGCAGCCAACGACTACCTTTTGATGTGACGACAAAGAAAGCACATTGTTCAGATGTTCAGATCTTCTGATCCTGGAAGACTCTCAGGCCTGTGTTTGAACAAAAATCCCTTTCTTCTTCTTCCATTTCCTCTCCTTCTCTTCCTGCCGCTGGCACCTCCTCAAAGTGGAGGAGGTCAGCTGTTGGTCAGCTTGTGTCTGGCTGAAGGTGGTTGTTTCTCTCACTGTGGTTTGGTAGATGTGGTTTTCATACCTGGCTCGGTCGACGACACGTGCAGCCAAAGGTCAACAGGTGTCAACGGAGAAACAACAGTTTCAATGTTTCTCCAGGTTTGTTTTTTTTTTTTCTCGTCCTCCCACTCCAGAGTCCGGTCACTTTCACTGCCGACTGCTCACTTGTAGAAAACCATTCCTGTTTGGTATTGTCATTCTGACTGTCTGTCTGCAAATGATACAGTAACGGTTCGAGCCCAGTCTGTCTGTCAGCTCCTCCAGGCCGCGGTAAAATAACGTGAAATATTTAAAATGAGAAATGACTTGTGTATTTTTCAGCGGTCCCTAACCTTTACTGTAACTTTACAGCTACGTTTGCTCTTATTTACCAACTCTTTCACTTGTCTTTAATTTGATGTGTTGGGTCAAAATATGGCTGATGTGACAGTAAAGGCTTATGTTGAGGTGAGCGCTAAATGGAACGGCCAAAGTTAACAATGAAAACTGGCATTTAAACTAAAAACATGCATTTCTAGATTGATTTAAAGACTGTAGGATTGTTCCTACCTTACCTTGTTGCGTACAAGTGCAAATATTATTTCCTTAAAGGGAGTAACAACCTCCAAGGTTCTTAGTCTATGGTCACCGTCGTCGTCAGGTCTAATATTGAACTCCACATCTCAAACAGAACAAAGCACCACTTGACACCTTTCATCCGACGGTTTCCAACCAGGGAACGTCCAAAGAGCACAGTTAACCTGCTGTAACCGTTTGTTCTGGCTCTTCATCTCTGCTGTGTTTGGTTTGGAGAGTGGAGGAAGCGGAGGATCGCGTTTGCTGCAGCCTGATTCCAATAAGACGTCTAACCAGGATCAGATTGTTCAGTTTAGGCACTTATCAAATTAGTTCCATTAAAGGCTAATGCCTGTTTGAGGAGTCAAAGGTCAAGATCAGAGGAGTCAAAGGTCAAGGTCAGAGGAGCCTGGTGGAGGCTCTGAAGTTTTTTTTGGGGTTTTTTTTTGTGAAGGTGTGGAGACGTCGGTGGTTGGTGGTAGATGATGCTACAGTCTCTCCACTCTGAGAGGCACAGCTGGCCTGTCATAACACAGCAGCTGAAATGATCCAAACACAAACTTATACACACAAATCAAAGTGATTTCATTCAGCCCTTTTGTAAACTAAATAAAAAAAACAAGTAACAGAAAAATAACAGGCAACTCAACCACTTAAATAAGATAAATGACTGGATAAACACGGAGTTTTGAAAATAGCCTTTTCCTGGGGCACATCTGGTTTGGTTTTTTTTTTTTTTGTTTGTTTGTTTTTTTGTGGTTAACCCTGATTATGTAACTAAATGTAACTGAAAATGGTTTTACGTAGTGCAACTCAATTTACAGTGAGCCTACATAAATAACTAAAGGTTTTACGTAGTACAACTCAATTTACAGTGAGCCTACATAAAAACTAGATCAAACTTGTTGTAGTGTTAAAGACTGGTAACTTTCAGCTGGTTTTAACTGATGTCTTTCTCCTGAATCATGATTTTAATTAATGACCAGGAATGGATTTTATTAGGAAACTTGCTGACACTTTGCTGAAATTCCAGAGAAAGAGAAAGTGTTGGCCAGATGAACAACAGGGATGTGGTGAACTCCAGTCCAGTTGTGGTGAAATAACAGATGTATTTATCATTTCATGCAAAGTGAAACTGACGTTTTGTTTAATCGATAACCGTAACGATGCGTGATGAATCTGTAAAAAAAAACAAAAAAAAAACACTGTGAATATGACTATATGCGTTGGTTTTGATTTGACAAATAAAGCAGACGGAGGCCTTGCTAACGCTGCAGCGTCGATGCAGATCCAGTGGCGGTTCTTCAGTGAAAGTGCAGCTGTCGTCTGGTTGGCCTCTTCCTGGTTCAGGGATAAAGTGTCTTTTTCTCCAGAGAAGAATTCAAAGAGCGTGAAGCTGTGAATGTAGGACTAATCCAGTGTGAATGTTGTTGCCATGCCACTGTCTCTGTGTGTGTGTGTGTGTTTATATTTTGGTGAATGTGTGTGTGAAATGAAGAAGAAGGAACAGGGCAGAGATGACTTTCCCACCTCATACGATCCAGACTTTGGATGGCTTTATCAGGCAGGAATCTCGATTTTCACTTTAATTCTCATCAAGTTTGTCTGGAAGGAACAAAACACTGACTGAGAGAAGTCACCTTCACAGCCGGAGCAACAGACGGACCTCAGCATTTTCATGGATTTGAGGCTTGGTTAGGTAGTGGGTTAGAAGAAGACGTAGATTGAAAGAAAAAGAAAGAAAGAAAAAAAGATCAACGACTTTGATATAAATGAAATCTAGACACAAATCAAAAGCGAAATAAGAAATAATTTTAAAGCTCTGTTACACAGTTACAGTTACACACGTTTGTTGTCATTTGGACACACTGCTGGGAAACTTTTGGACAGTCAGTAAGTCTGACTGACACGGTTGTCAAATGGATTGTTCCGGTCCGTGGGCTGGTTAACGTTGTTGAGGACAGTAACGTCTCTCTCTCTCTCTCTCTCTCTCTCTCTCTCTCTTTGAGACCAACCACAGTCGGGTTCCCTGATCACCTGGACGAACCTCAGACCTTCTGGTTCTGCCGTTTGTTTCGTTGCGGGCACTGGGAACATTGTGTCCCTCACAGCTGCTCAAACTTCTCCTCCTTCGCCGTCATCATCACCATTAGTTCAAGTCCCTGCGGGTATGACGCAGTACTGTGGGTAATTACGGTACTGCCACAGTGCCTGACTTTTCTCATAATAAACCACCGAGTTCAGCTCTGATGTTCTGTCGGGCTCGTGTTCTTACATCACCGCTATTAAAACCTTAAAACACACACACACACACACACACTAATTATACACAACACACCGTGGGTATTTATTTAGAGCCGCCATTACAGCCCCTCGGTGTTGTAAACAAAGTAATGACAACAATCATGCTTTGTGTCTGTGGTGCGACGATGATTTAAAGCAACATTTTATCATTATTGAAGTGTTGAACTGCTCATTATCACACTGTTAAACTGTTTATACTGGGACCAGGACGAGGACCGGGGAGGTGGGGCGGCCATGTTGCTACACGTTGAGCTAACTCTTAGCTATATTTGAGCCTATATAGAAATGATTTTTTTTTTACAGGATATTTGAATGAGTTAATGCTGTTTCTAATTGTTGGTGTTGTGTTAGGTCATGTTTGGCTAACACTTAACATTTCTGCATGTTACTTTATGTTACTTTACTTGTGTGAATATAAAGACGCAGTGTAAAATGGTCATATTTGAGATATTGACGTGTACATGAGCTCAGCGTTACTACAAACTATTTCTGCTTATTGTGACTACATCTTTACTTGTTGCAGTGTAAAAAATCTGGATGTTCATATGTGAGATATTGACGTGTACATGAGCTCAGTCCTCAGTCTCAGGGTGAAGCTCAGTTTGACTGCGATCTCCTGAGGGAAAATAAGACGCCATCGTTGACAGACGATCAATCTTCCTGTGGAGTGCAGAGATTTGAGCTTATTTCCTTTTTCACATCATTAGGAATAAACACACACATACACTGAGCAGGAATTTAAATGGCCTGAGTGCAGCCGTGTTCAGTTCTTCTCCCAGAGAACATGCAGCGTGTTCTTGGCACAGACCTGGACCTGGACCTGGAGACCGTGTGGTGCCAGTCTGTATCAGATGAAACCAGGACGTCGGTGTGTCAGAGAGGATGATCGTTAGGAGCACGTTCTGCTTTCTGTCTGTTTCTTCGTTTGTTTTGCACACGGTGGTCCCTGCAGTCCTGTCTGCAGTCCTGCAGAGGGCATGTGGTCACGGCGCAGCGCCGGGGATTCCGTTTCAAAATATTCCGTTGAGTTTTGAGGCGCAGCATTACCGCACATCGTGCCTTTATCATAACAAAAAAACAGAGGAGAGGGTTCTCTGGGGTCAGAGTTAAGAGAGAAGATAAACACCAACAAATGAGCTCAGTGCTGCTGCGGCCAAACACAACAGAACAGAACACAGGCAGCAGGTCAAGTGACCAAGAGTATAATGTTAACAGACTGTAAAAAAAAAAAAAAAAAAAAACTTATATGGCAAACGACCAGCTTGTTTAAGACTTCTACATCTGTAAATCTAAGACCAGAGGAAGTTTATATTTTACGCTCTGTTTAAGCAAGAAATAAACCCCAGGTTTACTGCTGAGGTCAACTTTAAGCTATTCTTAATATCTGCATCTATCTATGTAGTGGTTTTGGTGGATTTTGCTGGATTTACCTATAAAAAAATAATGACAGTCGTGATAAAATCAACAAATTAACACTTCGTCCAATTAGATTTTTTTTTTTCCTTTCCTCAGTCTCCCGTTCCCACGTGTCTTCAAAGCAGCAGGAGGTGCTGGTGGAGAACGTGACCCGCATGTCAGAGCGCTCACAGCTCCTTCAGCAGACCATCAGCGAGCCTTCTCCTCAGGCCGACCTGCTGGAGAACATCTGGAAGCTGGAGAACCTCTTCCAGAACCACAGCGATTGGCTGCAGAGGCTGGAGATTCTCATTAAGGTACCACAACCACAGCCTTTCATTTAGATTTGGATCACGTGATGTGGAGCGTTTGGTCATTGAGGTTCTTTACAGAGCGTGGAGGTGGAGCTACGGAGCGTCCACGCCTACTCCCTCCAGTCTGAGGGCTACCTGGTACAGCTGGACGACAGGTTGTCAGGTCTGAGCAGCTCCGCCACCAGGAACCTGTCTAGCTTGATCTCGGAGGTGTCACGAGCCTCCACTTGGCTGCGGGACCAGGACCACATGCTCCGGTACTTTAGCAGAGAACAGTATACAGTAGATCCTCATGACAAAGGCTGGATCTGGATCTGGATCTGGATCTGGATCTGGATCTGGATCGTAGCGGAGGCTCCTGTTCATCTTTGGTTTGTGAATATCTTCAGGGAAACCTCAGGGAAAGTGAGTGGGCTGAGAGAGAAGCTGGACGAGGTGAACTGGATGGTGGGAGCTGTCAATCACACCTTCAGCAACGACATCAGTATCCACAACCTGAAGATTCAGGACCTGCAGGTTCGTCACTATCTCACTTTAAAAGCTGGCTGTTTTTTAAACTTTTTGACTGATTATTTACGGCTGCTTTTTCCGTCTCCAGATCCAGATCAGCAACATCACAGAAGATACCAGCAGTTTATGGGTGACCCATGTCAACACTGAGGCCCAGCTGAGGAACGAGATGGATATTCTCAACACCATCACTGAGGACCTGCGTCTGAAGGACTGGGAACACTCCATGACTCTGAAGAACATCACCATTTTAGAAGGTAAGGCTTCAGAAAGAGTCAGTACTGGAACAGTGTTAAAAACATCCTGAGAAAATTCAAAATTCATTGTTTTGTTTTTTTTAGTGCACTGTGTTTTTGACAATGCCACAGTGAGAACAAAATGATGATTTTGATGGTTTTTGGCAACTGGAACCAGAGCAAAATAATGTGATATCTTCATCACAACATGAGAGCTCTTGGCGTTATGAGTCATTTGGGTGAAATTCTGCAGAAATTACCAGTTGTTTTAGGCCAGAAATATTTTTGCAGAATAATTTAATGTAACCAAACCGTTGGAGTGTGATGTTGACAGTTATGGATGATGACCCTGGAGTGTTGGGCAATTCTCATGTTCCTCAGCGAGGACAACAACAACTTCAAATTTTCCAAGCTGTTAAAGACAAAATAGAAATGTTGTTACGTAACACTGGTGAGAAACCCAGAGAAACCCAGAGCCGCGGGATTATTGGCATCAGACGATGACGGCGTCCACTCTGTGGTGTGGTGCAGAGGTCAGGGCAGGATGGTCTTCTCCCTCTGAAGCTGGTTTTACACTCACTCGTCTTTTGTCACGGCCACTTTCCCCTACATGCCCTGATAAAGTCGGGTGATGGAATTTTGACGTCCGACCGTTTTGGTTAAATGAGGCGACGCTCGTGAGCTGCTCCAGGCCGCCAACTCCAGCTGCTCTGTCACAGCTCACCTGGAAAAAAAATCCTTTCCACCATCTCACAGTTTTAGCGCTCTGTTTCATCTCTGCTCCAGTATCCACCTGCTGGCTCCCACAGGGATACTTCAGGTTCCTTCAAGGATGTGAGTGAGTGTGATTCAAACCTGTCTCAGTGGTGACATCGTCAGGACAACAGTGACAGCTGGAGACGTGTGGAAAATTCAGTTTTAGCAACTTGACAAAAGACAGAAAATTAGAAGTCAAATTTTGGTTTGACTTTTGGTGTGTTTCAGTCGTTACTGTTCTGGTAGAACCTGTGGAACTTTGAAAACTTCAGTGTAAAAGGAACTGCAGCACTGACTCACTGTAGTCTCTGAACAAACTGACCTGAGGAGCGACTGTGTACGTGTTAAGAACAATGAAAATGAACCACAGCTGCGACATGTGCTCTGTGATGAACGTTACAAACACGACGCCCATGCCTTATTAAAACATATGGCTTTAAAGTAACCGGACCTTAAATATATAGAGGAACACTGTCAGCGCAGCAGAACGTGAGAACCTCGACTGAGACAAAACCCACCGGCAGGAAGTGGGTTCTGCAGAAAGATCCCGTGCAACAGGTCGTCTTCTCCATATTCATGTTTGCATTAGAACTGACCCCGACGCTGTGGGATTATGACCTCGGGGGCGTCGAACTAATGTTCTCCCTCCGATCTGTGTTGCGCTGATTAAAGCGGACCCTCGGTGATTCTTACTGCCGCTGAACCAGAACACGACTCTCCTCACTTTTTAAAAATCAGAATAGGTATGTCGTGATGTAATGCTGGCCGGGGACGCGGCGCGGGCTGATTGATGGCAACTGAATCTGAATGGGACTCGGAGTCTTAGTGTATGTCTGCTTCACATTTGGGTGGGATGTCAGCCCCCCCCCTCCCCTCGCCCCCGAGCCTGGAAACAATTGTGGGTTAAATTTAGACGCTGCTTTCCAGAAAGAACGACTCGACCGCTCGAGCTCTGTCATTAGTTTTAACTGAGGCGCCCATTTGTTTGTTGTTAACTCACAGTCACCTTAGCCAAGAAGCGTCTTACATCTCCGTCCATGTTTATCTTCTCTTCCTCTGCCTCTCTTTTGTTATTTCTCAAATTTCTCTGATTCCGTCCAACTCCACGTTGCTTTATTAAATAGTAATAATAATATGTAAGTCTTACATATTTACTGTATGTTATTAATGTGAAAGTTAAACAGGGTTGACTGAGGTTGACCTCCACCTCTGTGTCTCATTAGTCACCGTTTGTGTTTTCAGAGCTGGAAAGCATTTCTAAGGAATCGTGTTACAGATCTTTTCACCCAGTAACATATTAGTATTAAGGTATTAACTTAGACCAGGGGCCATCAAGTGGTGGCCTGTGGTCCACATCCGGCCCCGCGAGCCAGCTATTTGCTGTTAGAATGTCGAGATAAACACGTTCAAGCCGTCATCTCCGTGACACCGTGTGGTAAGAGCTGCCCCCAAAAATGGAAAGGACTTTGATTTCAGTCCTCAGACCAGACAGTGAGGCAGGTTGTGACCTGGTGTCAAAGGTCATCTTCCAGAATTCTACGGAGAAGGAATGTTCTGATGGAAACATAGATTGCATAAAAAACCCAAAACAAACGGGGAAAAAAGCTGGTCTTTTATTCATCTCTCCTTTGTCTCCTTGACTGAAACATGGATTTCATAAAAAAAAAAGCTAGTCTTTTATTCATCTCTCCTTTGTCTCAGGGTCGGGGGAAATTATTTTTCTGGAAGTTATTTTCCTCTTTGAACTGATCAGTCGGAACACACTCACCTCGTGGCTTTTTATTTTTTATTTTTTATTCTGTTTTCGTCTCTTCGATTCAAACATCTTTATATTCACCCTGCGTCCGTGTCTTTTTTGCACAGTCAGGCAAAGTTGAAGTCCGTCTGCAGGTCACAGCTGAGCTCTTAAATCCTACTGCAGCCGGTGTCAGCTGGACCGGAGCTGGAGCTGTCGGGAACAGCCAACAGAAACAACCCCACGTTGTCCTGTCCCACGCTGCTCCGTGTTGTGCTGCGCTCCGGTTCCATCCTCTTGACTTCTCGTGGTTGTTGAGCCGCGGTTTGGGCTGTAAAGTTTTCAGGCTCCGTTGGAATTCATTCAGTATAAATTTATTTCTGGAAAATCCCTTGAAAGTCTTTGAAGGTTCATGCTACCTGAAGGCTTGTGTAAACGGTGACATTTGTAGACGTATGAGGTCATCGGGCTGAAACAGACCTGATATTTAGAAACCAGAAAAGGATCAGATTTCAAGAAACAAAACAATAAAACGAACATAACTAAAAAATTAAGTTAGTTGAATTCTTGGAGCCAGTGTTCTTTGTTCGGTGGTATTCCCCTCTGTCGGTTCTGTTCTTGTTCTCTGCCATGTTTTTGCTCCTCCTCCTCCTCCTTCACCCCCCACCCTCCCTCTATCATTTTACCCTCTGTTTCTCTCAGTGTGTTCATGTGTTTAGGCTGTAATTGGCACAGATCAAACACAAGTTCTGCTGAGGTTTCACTGTATCTTTCAGTATTGTTTAGACTTTTATTGAACCAACTGCCCTTGACCTGCAGCTTCAAAAAAAAAAAAATTAAAAGCATCAACAATGGAGTCTGAATGAGGTCTTTTCCCTAAAAAAGAATCATATAAAACAGAACATAAAATGGGAAAAGGGAAAACAGAAAATACCTGCAGAGGGCAGCAGAAAACTTTTTAATTGATTTTAATTGAAAAACACCAAGGAGATAATTGATTACATTTGTTTCTTATTTTTCATGTAATTAAAGCGTACATCTACCTTTCATTAATTACACATACAAAAACAGTTGAAGCAGAAATAAATCAACAAAAACCCTGCAGTACCTCCATAGACCTCCTAGAGGTCACTGACCCCATTGTTCTCCATTTGAATCTTTGTCGTCCTCAGGTCCAGATCTTACGTCTGATTTGGACTCAACATTAATGACCTGAACTCGGACTCAGACCTGAGCTGTGGCTGGGCTTTAAATGTTTGACTTGACGTGAACTCAGATAAACTTTTTTTTTCTCCTCGTGACCGGGACTTGAACACAGAGACTCAGGACTGGACTGTGACTCTCTGTCTTTGTCATTTAACAACAGCACTGCTGGTTTGACAGATTGTGGCTCGACTGAATCTGAACGCAGCCAACGCTAACATGTCTCAGGAGGAAATAACATCCCACCCATAAATGTTTTATGTTCTCGTCCTATTCCATCTGTCTGGTTTAGTACTGGATGACAACACGCCGCGATGTTGGCTGTTCCAGGGAAAGTTGCAGGCGTTGTTGGTGGAGCACAGACATGTATAAGTACGGCCCACGTTGCCAATATAAATAAATCAATCGAAAGCGTCTGCTTCCAATTCATGAATCCGTTGAAAATGTCTCCGTATATGGAACACAGCTGTTCCAACATCTCCACAGTTTTATTCAATCAATACGGTTACGGCTGGTCGATTGTTGTCACGTTCGTGTCAACACGCTGGGTTTTACCAGTCATTAACACGAGCGAACAGAAACAACAACTTAAGCCTATTTGCTGTCTTTAATTTGTCTGCACTCGCCGTTTGTTTTTTTTGGGGGGGAATTTTAAACGTTGGGGAGATTTTTCCCCTGGTGAGATTTGACAGACTGCACCAGCGAGCACCAGAGTTTGGGTCCAAGAACCACAGGAACATGAAGTCACGGCTGGTCCTGGTGCAGCTTCAGTGACGCGCAGGGTTGGACAGAGGGAGCTGTTGCTCAGAGGTTTTGTCCTGGAGTTAGTCATTGGTTGATCCCGGCTCAGCTGACGCCTGGAAACGTTTACAGTCACTGAAGAATCGTAATGTATGTTTGTTTGACTTTGGAAGAGCAGATCGGCGGGTATGGAACTTCACTCTGAGCTCATTTTGTCCTAACGTCTAAATCTTCCATCAAAATGTTGCTATCACTTGGTTAGCTCGCAGTTAAGCTCTGGCTAACATTCTTAACTCATTTTGCGCCTAACCTCTTCTCTATGCTAATTTTTATTCTAGCCTAGTTAGGGCTAACTGAAGGCTAGTTCAGGGAACACACTTCATGCTCGGTTCACAGCTAATTTAAATCGTACCCAATAGTCTGCAGGACTATGGTGTAGACCAGTGTTTCCCAAACCTTTTTTTTTCTGGGGAGCCATACTGTATTTTAAAAATCACAAACCTTCACGACCCAAATCAATAGACATTATTCGTAAACTCCTGGGAAACATGATGCGAGACGAGTATATATATATCACTATATAACTTAAATGGAGCTGTTGTTTCTTCTGACCTAATAAGCCGGCTTGTCATTGGAGGACTCTGTATATATATCACTATATAGCTTAAATGGAGCTGTCGTTTCTTCTGACTGCGCAGCATTTCAATGCTAACTTTTACCTGTCGTCTCAATTCGTTCTTTGGTTCCAAAGCTGTTGTTCTGTTGCTTTTGCTGAATTTAATAGACATTTGTTCTGAGCGAGGAGGATTTCTACGCTCCTACGTACTTTTATACTGTCAACCTGTTTCCAGTTCGCGTTTGTCTCCATCTGTTCCGTATCCATCCATCCTCCTGTGTCGTCAGGCTCCGTGAACCCTGATGATGCGTCTGCGTCATTAGTGATGATAATGAATGTAACAACATCCCCTTATACACTCCTTATATACAGTATCTTGACGTTGTTGTGGATCAGTGGGATGTTGGCAGGCCCGAGGCGCCGGCGTTCGTCACCGCTGATGTGTTCTTGGACCCGTGGATCAGATGTGGATCCACGTTGATCCTTAAGAGGCCGCTCTGCTTGTTATTGTTGAAACTCTGTCACAGTGGAGTTAGCAGATTAATAACACCAAGCTTTGCTTAAACAAACTATTACCAAAGATGGCAGATCCTGCGGACCACCAGGAAGAAGTGTCACTTTTCAGAGCTGAGACCTTCACACACGTTTTCCTACTGGGTTTCTGAGACTCTGAACAAAGAGCTACAAATGTGAATAAATAATAAGTAGAATTAATCTCATAAAGATGCTGTATTTGTCAACAAGTTGTAAAAAAAATTAAGATGAATTTAATCTGCAACACTTCAGCTGTGGATTATATTTTTCTCGTAGAAATGTATTCAAGACAACAGAGCTTCAGGAAAGATAGAATATACAGAAGTGAACCTCACACTGTTGTTCCAGTAAATGATCTGTTTTCACTCATCGTCCGTGTTGGTGAAGGGCTTGAATTCCAGGGTAGAAACCTGGAAAGATTTCATTAAAATTCCAATTCCGTATGTCGGTGCAGTCTGCAGAGAGTGCAGAAAATAAACACCGTATGTTGGTGCAGTCTGCAGAGAGTGCAGAAAATTGTTTTTGTTGCGTTGCATCTGCAATGATATCTTGAGCATAACCTTAAAACTTTACTCGTTAGGTTCCTTATTTCATGCTGACCGTGGTCGATTTGCTAATTAACTTAATGTGTCTTTTGTTTTTAAAGGGGGCTTTTGGACTTGTGTCTGATGTCACAGGGTTTGTGTGTTTTTGTTTTGGTTTGGTTTTTTTTCTGTCCAGCTCATCTTGAAGCACTGATTTGTTTTGTAACCAGAACCAGATGCCATGTTTTCAGGGTCTGGTACAGAACAGAATTCTGTTGAACCTAAAAGGATGAATGGTACTGACTGTGTCACCTGACTGACGCGGATCTCTAAGTGGACGCACATGCGGAGCCGCAGTGGCAGAGGGCAGATTCGTATCTCGGCAGTCACTCGGTACTTTCTCAGCGCCGCAGATTCTGCAGATGAAGAAGTGTCTCGGCTCTGGAGGACAGGAAACTTTGGACACGCACTGGACAATAACAGGCATTTCTGAAGCATTCCCCGGAGCTGTGTTCTCAAACATGTGGTTCCCATTGTGGCCAGACCTCTCTCTATCTCCCTCTCTCTCTCAGTATCTGTTTATCTGACGTAAGGTCACTTTTTTTTTTTCACTATCTTGCTCCAACTATAATAACTGTTTGAACTGAGGCTACAGTGTGTGTGTGTGTGTGTGTGTGTGTGTTTGAATGAATAATAAATCTGACCTGATTTTATGATATTGATCTAATCAGCAGGATCACATCTTGTTCTCTGGGACAGATCTCAGGGCCACGTGTGTGGTTTCAGATTTTGTTTGGAAAATTTTCTTTGGCAGCAGATTTGATTATAGACAAGTGGCCTATATTTTAGGATGACTTTTACATCTCTGTTGTTACTCAGTTCAGGAGCCACAATCCTCGGAGTGACAGAGTATGTCATCGAGATGCTTGATTTAAATACTAATAGATCATTGGTTAGTGACGACATCACTGGAATAAACTGAAATTCCACGCAGGTTTTTCCTCTGTCTGAGACCAGGGTTATTGACTGTGACGTCTGTGAAGTTCAATTTTTTTTTTCTTTTTTCAGTACTTGAACTAATTGTATTTATTTTGCTCCTTTGTTTACGTTGTTTTGTTTTATTTTTGGACACCGTGTCATGGCATTTTCTTGTCTTTCTTCAGGGCCTCCAGGACCAAAAGGAGAAAAGGGCGATACTGGCTCCCTGGGGCCCCCCGGAGCCCCCGGGCTGACAGGACTGAGAGGTGAGCACAACTTGGATTACCTTTTTATGAGCTGAGAGGTACGGGTCAAATTCAAAGTACGTGTGTGGTCACATTCAGTTCAAGCCGCTAATAGCGTTGTTAGCATAGCATCCAACAAATGGAGTGTTTAGATTTGTTCAGTAAAAAAAAGAATATTTAGTCCTTTTGCGACTTTGATATTTGCAGTCCTCCTTCAGTAGAATAAAGTACTTGATGACGTAGTACTGGTGGACCAGTAGCTCCTGTGTCCTCCTCAGTCTGGTGTGTGGGATCAGGAGATTTACAAACTTAATTTTCCAGTAAGAAAACAAATATATTTTTTGTGAACAGTAAACTCAAGCAGCTGGGAGAGATTGAGAGGTCGTCTGTGGAACAGCTGCTCGTTACAGTGTTACAGTAACGTGTGGTGATGTCACAGTTACCCCGTCTTTTTTGGACTGGCGTGGCGTTTGGTCGAGCTGCCGTGACTTCTACGTACCTCCAACAAACCTTTGAATGTGAAACTGGTTTTGTGAGGTTCCAAACCTGGGAGCCAGTGTTTCGGTTCCATGCAGTCACTTTATTAATACATGGAGGATTGAAACAAAAGTCCCATAAATCCACAAAAGAAAACAAGGCACACACGTCAGTTTGGGGGGGATTTATTTTCAGACGGGGTGTGGACGACATGTCATCTGTCTTCGTCTCTCCGGCTAATTCCTCCAAAACCACAACACACAGACTCATGCAGAGAGAACTGGCATTTCTCTGAAGTTTTTTTTTTTTTTAATAGATACTGTAAAATACAAACAGCGAATTTTTTTTTATAATAGATACTGTAAAATACAAACAGCGTTCTATCTCCAGATGTTTGGGGACCAACCTTCAGCTCCGTACCTCTTCTTCATCACTCTCTGTCTTCTCTTTTTCTACATG